TCCAACCTGACTTGGCCCTTCAAGACGTGAGCGATCACAGCTGTCAACTATTTCCTGGCCTTTTCATCTAATAAAGTTTGTTATACACTATTTACATTATTTGGACTATTGTCTTCATCTTTGTCGCCATATATATTACAATATTTTGGCTGTTGTATGCTCAGGCTATCTTCATTTAGTTGGAATATCAAACTGAACCCTTTACACATGGCACAGTGGATAAAGGCGTTAGTTAGATCCAGTGACAGGACCCAAAGAGTTTGAGTTCAATACCCGGTTAAGGCAGTGGAGAACTTGAAGAGGTGAATTAACAGGAGATAAATGACAGCTGACATCCATTAGACATTGCACATGGAACTAGAAAAGTCTACCTTAGTGAGCAAAATAAAGGGTTCAGTTTGGCATACCAACCACCTGAAGAAGGTCAGAGCATACAATGGCCGAAACATTGTAATAAATATGGCAACAAAGATAAGGACAATAGTCCGAATAATGTAAATAGTGTACATAATACCTCATCTCAGAAATATAGACAGATACTGAAAGGCCAAAACGTTGTAATAAATATGACGACAAAGATGAGGACAATAGTCCGAATAATGTAAATAGTGTACATAATACCTCATCTCAGAAATATAGACAGATACTGAAGGGCCGAAACGTTGTAATAAATATGGCGACAAAAATGAGGACAATAGTCCGAATAATGTAAATAGTGTACATAATACCTCATCTCAGAAATATAGACAGATACTGAAAGGCCGAAGTGTTGTAACAAATATGGCGACAAAGATAAGGACAATAGTCCGAATAATGTAAATAGTGGACATAATACTTCATCTCAGAAATATAGACAGATACTGAAAGTTTGTTATCTCTGTCCTGCCAACATTTACACAAGCTTATTAGGTAGTTTAAGCAATCCTTTCCTCTGGCTCTCTTAATGTCAATGTACTTTTCAGTGTTAAATTTTCCAAACCTTCTTTCCTCTATATGTGACATAGACATTTCAATTGTCTTTTCCCAATGTTAAGCATTAGTATCTTATTTGTTTCATTTTCTCTGAAAATTTGTCATTACTCAAATGTTTAGTCCATGGAATCCTCAGCATCCTTCTGTAGAACCATATTTCTTTTGCTGTTCTTCATCTGTCAGGAGATTATCCAGAATTCACTGCCATATAATGAGAACTGATATTATATAAGAGCTAAAAGATGAATATGACAGATATGAAACCTTGACATGGTGTAATGGTTAGCAAGCTTGCCTGACTAAAACAATTAAAACTGAGTGGCAAATTCAATCTTTACTGGGTGCCCCATATCTTCAGCCTTGTGCCACATTTAAGCCACTCTTAGAAAATCACTTTGGACAACTTGACATTGTCTAATAGTTAGCAAGCTTGTCTTGTTAGAACAATTGGTTCATGGTATCCTCAGCATCCTTCTGTAGGACCATATTTCTGTTACTGTTCTTCATCTGTCAGAAGATTGTCCAGCATTGGTTAGCGAGCTTGTTAGAACAATTATGAGTGATTAGTGAGTTTGATCCTTACTGGGTGCTCCATACTTTTGGCCTTGTGCCACATTTAAGCTACACTTAGAAAATCATTTGGGCAGCTTTACATGGTTCAATGGTTAGCAATATTGTATATATTGTCTCGTTAGAACAATTATGATCCTTACTGGGTACCCCATACTATCAGCCTTGTGTCACATCTAATTGATCCTTAGAAAATCAATATAATGTAGAGTTGTTTCATTATCTTATTATGAATTAACCATTCCAGATTATCATATATATATATATATATATATATATATATATATATATATATATATATAATAGGGAAGAGGTTATAGTTGTTCCAACGAGAAAAAAAGTGTATATTTTAAAAGAAATGTTTTTGGTTGAAATGTGGATTTTTAAAAAATATATATTATACTTTAAATAAAGTATAATATATATTTAAAAAAATCCACATTACAACCAAAAAACGTAACAGTTTTTTTTTTTAAAATTTTTAAAATATATATATATATATATATATATATATATATATATATATATTTTAAGAAATCACATCATATGAGCATATTTGTTTTGGTTTTCATAAGGATCAATTGAATTTGCATAGCAAACTTGAATATGCTATTAAGTTTTATAAAATTTTATAAATTTTTATTGATTTATTCTTTTTATACATATTTGTGATTTATTAGGATATAAAAAAATTTGGCAAAAAAAAAAAAATGATTATTTTTGATCACAGTAACTATTGCACCCCCACTGCCATTCCACTATAGCAAGTTGAATAAGAATAACATTTCTCTGTGAATGGAATAAAGTGTTTGGCTTTAAATTACATGAAGTTAGAAGAAGACTGGAGTGTACGCCAGCTGAAATGAATCTTCCTTTTATGTGCTGTGTTCCTTCAGGACGTAGGTGATCATGGCCCTCCACATCTGCCTGTCTTGTGTAGGTCTTAACAAGTTTTATCTTTTTGTTATCTCTCCCAAACCCCATTCTATCATTCATTTGCTCAAGCTCATCAAGTATGTTACATGCTACTTTCCTCTCTCTCTCCCTCAATCTGTCCTATGAGTGTCAGATTTGCCAAACCCTCCTTTCTCATTAAATGCCCCAGAAATTTCAACTACCCCTTTCTGATGTACAAATTTCCTTTTTGTTTTCTCGTTGTTGCTCACATATCAGATCTGTTGTATCCTCAGCATCTTTCTGTAGAACAACATTTCTGTTGCTTCAAGTCTGTTCTTCATCTTTGAGAAGATTGTCCAACATTCGCTGCCATACAGGAGGATATACATCACGTAACGATGCAATACTCCGTTCTTTGTTTCCGGTTTTCTACTGTTGTTTTTGATAGCTCACTTATAACAATAGAAAATCAAAATTTAACAGAATTAAACTAAGAGAATTTTTAGCCATGACTGACTGTTTACAGCAAAAGCTACTGCTCCTCCTGCTACTCCTCTTGATGCAGGCATATTTTTATGTAGATCGTCCGATGCCCAAGTCCAAACTTGTAGGGAAATATTCTTCTTCAGAACAATATAATAGAAGTACAGTTTTAAGTTATGCTATATTTATGTGTTAAAGTGCTCAATATCAGGAATAGGGCACATGTCAGGCCTGACAATTGCATTTAAGCATAAAACAGATTGTCACTACTGGGAATATATATATATATATATATATATATATATATATATATATATATATATATATATACTGATGTGGAAATAGGAATGTCTGCACTGTCTGTAATAATAGACAGTATCTCTCCAATATTGACAACATCATAAGCATAACAAATTTTAAGCAATATTTATATTCAGCACAAACACCACCAACGATGCAACAAAAAAATCAGGACTTCAACTGACCAATGTTGTCTCCACTTGGAGAATGTTACTCTAATAATAGTAATTGAAACAATGCATGTGTTGGTTATGCAATCATAACAATATCATGTTGATTAACATTTATCCGATAATGGTTCAATTAAATTGCATATCTCCAACCAATACAACAAAAAGCACAAGAAATCTGTTACCAATAACACAAAAATAAAAATAAACTATAAAAAAAAACAAACGAGTAGAAAAACCAGAAGGATTAAACTAAGAAAGAAATAAGCAATAAAAATGTAAACAATTTTAAGAAGAGACATATAAAATATATAAATAATGCGACAAAGTGTGACTCATGTGAAGAAACGATGATGTGATATTAGAAAATGGTGATACTGACATAGCATAACTAAGAAAACTCTTTGATTATGACAAGTGGAATCGAAAAGTACTTGGATGATTAAAATTAAAGTTTGTGCCAGAAATCAGGAAACTGTTTTAAAACATAGAAAAGATGCAACCAATTTTCTTTGGAAGCCACATAATTAGCAATGAGGAAAGGAAAGAATGGAAAGAGAGTTATGATCCTTGCTCTTGCACTCTCCAGTTAAATACACCTTTTTTCTGTGAAGGCCTCAGTGATTTATCAGGGAACATTACAAAACAAGCAACATCATGAAAACTAAGGAGTTCACCAGACAGGTCAGGGTTTTGTTTAGTTTGTTTAACAGCATATCAATACCTTATAGGTCATTAAATGCCAAAATTACTTAAATTTTTCTTGTTGTTGCTTACATGTTAGACCCATGGTATCCTCAGCATCTTTCTGTGGAACCACATTTCTGTTGCTTCAAGTCTGTTCTTCATCTTTGAGAAGATTGTCCAACATTTACTGCAATACAGGAGGACAGATGTCATATAACTGTCTAGTACTCTTTATTTCGTTTCTAATGAAATTTTTCTGTTTCTTTATATCCTGCTTAGATTTTGGAATGTATCTTTGACTAACCCAATACTTCTTCTGATCTCTGTGTTAGAACACTTCACAGAAATTTAAATTATGTGCTTGCTTGATTTTGCCGTCACCAATTTGTAATTTGCATTTTGGGCTGACCTCTTTTGCTAACAACTATGCATTCAATCTTCTTGCCATTGTTGATTAGTCCTTTCTTCTCACTTTCTTCACTACCTTCTGTAAGAGCTTTTGTTGTTTCCTTTCTGTGTGTCTGCTATCAACACCGTGTCATCTAAATATCTTACATCTTTAAAATTATGGAGTTATTATTGAAGCTCAGTAGGATTTCTTATTCTCTCAGAATTCCTTATCTTACACCTCTAATAAAGCATGTAATAGAGTCCTCCTCCGCTTCACATATTTCCAGGGCCATGTCGTCATCGAAGTCCTCCTCCCCCACTACACGTATCGCCAGAGCCATGTGGTCATCAGAGTCCTCCTCTCCAGCTCTACGTATTTCCAGGGCCATGTGGTCATCAGAGTCTTCCTCCCCCACACCACATATTTCCAGGGCCATTTGATCATTATAGTTCCCCCCATCCACGTATCCTGAAATTTGTTTTCTTATTCTCTTTGACTAAGAAAATGAATCCATTGGAGGAGGGTTTATGACTATACAACATTGAAATACCAGTTCTCATATGATCACTGAAGTTAAGCAACATCAAACCTGGTCAAGTATCTAGATGGGTGACTGCTTGGGAATTCCATGTGCTACAGGCTTGGATATAAAGGTAGTGTAATGGCGAACAACTTGGAATTGGAAATCGGAGAGCTATGGTTCAATTCAAGTTAGATTTGTTATCACTTACATGCAAATAACATTAAGAAAATATTTGTAGGCCATATATCAATAAAATCATTATTATCCCCTTGTAATTTTTACAATCTAAAATATTTTCTGGCTTTAAATAAAATACAAAAGGTTGATAAGTCACAAAAAAAAAAAATGAATAGATGACTAAAGTTTGGTTTAAAATCTGAAACTAATTTTTGCTAATTTTTGTTTGAATTTTTAGGATAGTTATTTACACTATTTATAGTAATTCCTTATGGTCAGAAATAAATTGTTTGCACTGTTCTTGATACATCACCATTCCTGCTCTTTTTGCATTTCTTTTCAGTTAAAGACGAGACAGAAGAATAAAATATTAAAGATGATGATTGTGGTATTGTTGGCGGACTGATTAGTTATTATTTGAATTATTGTACAATTGTTTTTAGGTATTTTTTTTCCAATTCCTATCTTTGGTCAAATATTGGTCAGAGTGCTGGCATTGAAAATAATGCAAAGCATAAAAAAAGAGAAATGATTTTAGTTATTCTTGAAAACATATTCATGAGAATTGATTCCCAAAAGGTAAAAGAGGCCAGACATTTTCCTTAATAGAAAAAGAAAGAAAAATTTCTTTTCTCTTGCTATGAGAAATTATTCAAAATAGACCTAAGTCAGATAAGGGTGGGGGAGACAAAGAAGACAAAAAAAAAGAAAAGATAAATTCCATGAGAAAATTATTTTGTATAAAAAAAAAAAGATTGAGAAATTGAAAATAAAAAAAAAAGAAATAAAAAAAAGAAATATTAAGAATGTTTGGAAACCCATTATTCATATTGTCTTCTACAATGTATGAAGAACGCATCTTGTAGAAGATGCATCTCAATTTTCAGAGCTGTATACACGGCAAAACATTTCATGTTAAGAATATTTATTGCAACCAGTTATGCAAAAGTATTCTGCCCTCGTTCAATGATACATTTTCGCAATCATTTCACTTTGGAAACAAGGAAAAATTCTTATTTACGATATATTCAGATTATTATCCTCATCTTTGTTGTTGTTATCACAATGTTTCAGTTGTTGTCCTTCAGCCTTCATCAGGGATATATTGATCTGGGTAAACAACAGCGAATTCCAAACTGAACCCTTTATTTAATCTACAGGAGTAGACTCATCTCGTTCTACTGCCTACATCTACAGATATCTTCTCTAGTCCTTATTTTTAGTACTGTTCAGTTAATGCTCACCCTCTTTCCGCTGAGTCTGAATACACATTGCCTGGCTCAGGGATTGAACTCATAATTACTATGTCACCAAATTTATGAATCAATGCTTTAATCCACTTGGCTATTGTTTCATAGCAACAACAACAAAGATGAGGACACTTGTCTGAATATAAATAGTGTAAATACTGGCAGATTAAAGGTTTGGTTCTCAATTAGCTGTACGTTATCCAGATCAATAAGCACCTGATGAAGGCAGGAGGGCACACCGTCCGAAACGTTGTGATAACAACAACAAAGATCAGGACAATAGTCCGAATGTAAATAGTGTAAATACTTGTAGATTAAGGGTTCAGTTCACAATTCCCTGTAGATTACCCAGATTGATATACATCTGAGGAAAGTCGGAGAGCACAACAGCCGAAACTTTGTGATAACAACAACAAAGATGAGGACAATAGTCCGAATAAAAATAATGTAAATACTTGTAGATTAAGGGTTCAGTTCTAAATTCCATGTAGATTACCCAGATCGAATTACATCTGAGGAAGGCCGGAGAGCACAATGGCCGAAACTTTATGATAACAACAACAAAGATCAGGACAATAGTCTGAATGTAAATAGTGTAAATAACTCCTCATCCTAAAAATTCAAACAGAAATTAGGAAAAATTAGTTTCAGATTTTAAACCAAACTTTAGTCATCTATTCACTTTTTTTTTTTTTGTGACTTATCAAACTTTTGTATTTTATTTAAAGCCAGAAAATATTTTAGATTGTAAAAATTACAAGGGGATAATAATGATTTTATTGATATATGGCCTACATATTTATTACAATGTTTCGGCCCTTCAGTATCTGTCTATATTTCTGAGATGAGGTATTATGTACACTATTTACATTATTCGGACTATTTTGGACATATTCATTACAACGTTTCGGCCGTTGTATGATCCGGCCTTCTTCAAGTGTTTCGAATGTCGAACTTAACCCTTTATTTAGCTCACTGGGGTAGACTGTTCTAGTTCCACGTGTCATGTTTAATGGATGTCAGTTATTTCCTGTTAATTCCCCTTTCCATGTTCTCCACCGCCTTAACCGGGTATTGAACTCACACTCTTTGGGTCCTGTTACTGGATCTAACTAACGCCTTTATCCACTGTGTTAGGCGTTAATTAGATCCAGTGACAGGATCCAAAGAGTGTCAAGCATTGGTTTTGTTTCATCTTCAAGCGAATTTTGGATTCCAAAATTCGCTTGAAGATGAAATAGAACTAATGCTTTTAATTTAATTATATAATTAAATTTGAAGTTTTTAGCTTCGGTTTTTGAAACATGGTAATTCCTGTGTAGCGAAGAAACCATATTTTAAATCAGTTAATTTATTATATGAATGAAAAGACAAGGTGAAAACTTTGTCAGTGTTCCATTCCTCAAGGCAAGCTTTTTTTTAAGTAATCTTCAGTAATGAAAGAATTTAATCCAAGAATGCTTGCTGCCTAAATAAAAAGGGTTGCTGAAAGAAGTATATTTCACGTGGATTTTTCTCTACTAGTGTTTGAAAGTAAGGTATATAAATTAATTTACCCAAGCTATTCAAGACATGTTTAATGTAACTTTTTTTGATAAAGATTATGGCAAACATTGAGCTTACTAATGATGAGCATGCAATCATTTCATCAAGAATTCAAATTTCTCAAGTTACTCAAAAAAGAAACCACTTTTGCTTAACTCTACACTGGACTTTATAAATCTAAGCGCAATCCTAAATTGGCTGAAAGGTCTTATCAATTCAAAATTAATGAACAACATATAGTTTTGTACCACTTGCATGATCGTAGAAGATGAAAAGTACTTGGGAAATGAAAATAAAAGAAATTTAAACAACTATAGCACATTTCTCTCATCCTTTGACATCAATACATGTAATGTTATTCGTGAGTATGAACGGATTTTGTTAAAAATTAGCAGACATAATGTTTCTAATTTATTCAATCAGATATATATATATACATATAGTAGCAGTACTCAATTTTCGGCCTGATCTGGCTCTTGTTAAGGTAGAGAATAGCAGCTTCTTAAATTAGTGGATCTCATAAAAAAGAGTTTTCATTATTCATTTTAGCTAGTCTTAATCTTATTGCTACTTTATAATTAGGAAATTCAAGAACAGGTAACAATGACTGAAAGGGTTAAGGAAGAGAATAAGAAAATGGCTCAACAAGCTACAAATCTACAATCATAGTTATTATTAGTTTAACCTTCCTTCTTCTTCACTAATTAGTATGTAGCATGCTTGACTGATCATGTGATCCTTAATGACCAATAGTGAAGCTTAGTCTGTAAAGACAGTTTTGGGTAGTAACACTGTAAAGAAAAGATGCTTTTCGGCCACATGGGAAAAACACAGCCTTGTGTAAAATGACATGTTGGATTTATGCCTGAAAACAAACTTTGTAATATTGGCTGGCTTTTCCTTTCAGGGTCAGAGAGAAAGCATGCAACACATTTCTATACTTTAACACATTTTAGTGTGTTGGCTACTTCTATAATTAATGTATAAGTTTTCTTTGGGAATACTCTGCATTAAATAATGGTTGTAAAATGGTACATGCCCAAAATAATAGAAACTGATTGATTTGCAATATAAGATAACATTTATTTAACAAAAAGAAAGTTTTGTTTCTTTTCCTAGAAATGAATTGAATGCACAACAAAAATTGTTAATGAATGTATTTGAGCATGACTTGCATATGTAGGTGTGTTTGTGTGTGAAGCATTCACAGCTCTTATTGCTTCAGTGTGAAAAGTTGATGAAACACATTTCAAAACGAGGAGAAACAGGGAAAGAGAGCTACTTAAGATTTTGCCTGTTTTATATGCCCAGGGCTGCCACTGATAATGTTTGTTAAGGCACTACAATGTTCTCTTTCTACAAAATAAAACTTTTATTTAATTTACTTTTACTGACTTCTCCCTATCTTTTGTTTAATTTTTAACTAGCTAAATTACCTGCTATGTGTTACAATTTTTTTCTAAGAAAATGATGACTGATTTAAAATCATTTTTATAATTTGTAGAGAAAAGTGATGCATTGATTGATCTTAATCTTATTGATCTTACCAATGTGACCTCCATCTTCTGGTTTTCTCCTATATTTTGGATAGGAGTCATTCCTTTGTTTAAATTTAATTTAAATCAAAGGAAAAAAAATTTTCAGTGTTTGCTGGGGTGCCCCTTCCTGCCCCCACGGACCCCCCTTTGATCCAAATGAAGTATATACTTATCCAAGTACACTCAGAGTCATTCCGTTCTTCAAATTTAAATTTAATTTATATCAAAGGGGAAAAATTTTCAGTAATGGGGTTATTTCCCCACACCCAGGACATCCTTTGATCAAAATGAAATATGTTTATCCAAGTACCCTGGGTAATATAGTTTCCGAATAATATATATGGTTATAGGGTTTCTATCAACAAAACCCTAGGAGGAGTTCAATAACAAACAAACAAACGGAGGCTACAACTTATATATAAAGTTAATGATTTTTGATGGCAACTGCACTCCATTTTCAGACTGATCTGTCTCTGCTATACAACGTAGAGCTGGTGAGGAGAAGAGATGGATTCATGCCTTTCTGACACTAATGTGCCTGAGCAGCAAGGATTAACAGATGAGTGTGCTCTGAAAATGAGTAGCTGGAGATTATTCATGCAAATGT